GGCGGTGCCGCTCGGCTAGGCGGCGCGGTTCGGCTAGGCGGTGTGGTGCGGCAGGCAGGCAGGCGCAGTAGCGCGCTTGGCAGGGCAGGCGCTTACCAGGGGCAGGTGCAGGGCAGGGTCGCGACCGGCGGGTAGGGCAGGGCCGCTACGAGACGGCGGTAGAGCAGGGCAGGGCCGTGACGGGGCGGCTGTAGCGCAGAGCCACTACTGGGCGGCTGCAGGGCAAGGCTGCGACGGGGCGGCTGCGGGGCAGGGCCGCGACTGGTCGGCTGTAGGGCAGGGCCGCGACGGGGCGGCTGTGGGGCAGGGCCGCGACGGGGCGGCAGCAAGGTAGGGCCGCGATGCGCGGCAGCAAGGCAGGGCCGCGACAGGCGGCGAGGCCAAGCACGGCGGGCGGGTATGGCAGGTCGTGAAGGGCGGCGACAGGGCAGGGCCGCGACGGGCGGCTAGGTCAGGGCCGCAATGGGCGGCGAAAGGGCAGGGCCACGACGGGCCGTTAGGGCAGGGCCGCTACGAGTGGCTGTAGGGCAGGGCGCGCGACGACGCTTGTGAGGCAGGCGCGAAGCGCGCTTCGGGCAGGGCAGGAAAAAAAAATCATCGTGGTGGGCCCTAAAAAAAATATTCCCACTAGGGAACCTGCTCTGAAACCACGTCAAAACTAGGAACAAAGAACGACAAGAAACAGGGCAGTACAGGGTTTGTATATCGGAAACTAATTGGGCTGTACCCCATAAAGAGTGCCCCACTACAGCCTACAGCAAAGTTCTAACACATACGTACCAGGGACAGAAGGCGGACGCTTACGAGGAGCACGACGACCAGTGCGACGAGCGCGAACAGGCGAGGCAGGACGAGACGCAGGCTCACGACGCTCTGTAAGCGAGTCTGTCAGCTCAGTGGAAGGAGAAGGAGCAGGCAGTGGTGCGCCGGGCTGTAACGGGAGCCTAGTAGAAGACGGGAGGCTAAGAACTTGGCGAAGCACGGAGTCAGGCGGCGGCAGAGACGACGGTGATGGCGGAGCAAAAACCGGTCGCGTCTGGGCAGTGCCACCAGCACCAGTAGCTCCGGCGCCTCTAGCAGCTCCAGAACCTCCAGCTCTAGCGCCTCCTGCAGCTCTAGAACCCCCAGCTCCTGCGCCTCCAGCAGCTCCAGAACCCCCAACTCCAGCGCCTCTAGCAGCTCCAGAACCCCCAGCCTCAGCGCCTCCAGCAGCAGCACCTCCAGCTCCAGCGCCACCAGCAGCAGCACCCCCAGAAACGGCACCTCCAGCCCCAGGGTCCCCAACTCCAGGGTTGAGAGTACTAGCTCCAACACCTCCAGAACCGGCACCTCCAGCTCTGGGGTCGACAGCACCAGCTCCAGGGCCTCCAGCCCTAGTACCTCTACTAGCAGCACCCCCAGAACCAGCACCTCCAGCTCCAGGGTCGACAGCACCAGCTCCACGGTCGACAGCACCAGCTCCAGGGCCTCCAACCCCAGTACCTCCAGCAGCAGCACCCTCAGAACCGGCACCTCCGGCTCCAGGAGCAGTACTAGGCCCAGCAGCTCCAGTACCTCCAGTTTAAGCACCTCCAGAATCAGAGACACCAGTACTCTGAGTGCCTCCACGACAAGCAGCTCCAGTAGCACGACTCCTCAGGCGGGTACGCGACGCAAGCCACTCACGTGCCTGCTGTGGTGAGAGAGGCCCACGTTGGGAAACGAGACCCGGAGGAACGCCAACTGACTCAGCACCCCCCGACCCGGCACCCTCCACGCAGCACCCCTAGGCTCCACACCCGTAGGCTCAGCACCCCCAGGCTCCGCACGCGCAGGCTCAGCACCCCCAGGCACCGCACCCCCTAGCACCTCAAGCACAGGCTCAGCACCCCCAGACACAGCACCTCCAGCAGCACCTCCCTGAGCAGCACCTGAGTCATTACTGACCTCTACAGGCTCAGCCAAGGGGAGCGGGTCTACCTGAGACACACCTGAAGAAGCAGGACCCTGAGGGGGGAGGGGTCTACCGGAGGGGGACCTGGAGCGAAGAAAAGCAGCGGGGGAGGGAGAGGGACACTGCGGTAGGGGAAGAGACGGTAGAAAGAAACTGACTCATCAAAGGTGACGTCATGAGAGGGCAGGACACAGCGCGAGGTGGGGTGGTAGAACTGCCTGCCAAGCGCGTTAGGGACCAAGCCAAGGAAGACACAGGGAATGGTGCGGGAGGAGAGCTTGTCCGCGGACGTATCGCGGACAAGGGCACGAGCACCCCTAACCCGGAAACGCGACGCATCGCCAACCTCCCCCGTCCAACGCAGTGTGGGCGAGGTCTCCGGCAAGGAGACACGGGGCCAGAGGTTGAGCTGCTGCGCGGAGTACCGGACCGCAAACAGCCACAGAAAATGGGGAGCCACCGCATGGATCAGGGAGGTACGAGCGACCTCCATGAACAAGCCAATGTGGCACTCAGCAACCCCATTTTGCTTCGGTGAGCCCGGAAGCGTGAACGACTGCTTGATGCCCTCCCCCTGACAGAAGGCCCGCAAGAGGTCAGAGGTGAACTCACCACCTCTGTCAGAGTGCAGACGCAGGACAGGAAGGTCCTGGCGGAACCTGCGGCGGAGCTGGAAACGAACTGCTCGGATCCAAGGGATCAGGACAGCGGGGACCTCACCCTTGGTGCGCAAGGGGAAGACCGTGGTGTAACGCGAGTAGTCGTCGACAACCAGCAAAAAAGTACCGCTCACCGCCCTGTCTACGAACGCGGGCTAGGCCCCACACGTCCAGGTGGAGGGTATGCAGAGGAGCCTTTGTCGGGGGAAACGAGGAGGAGTGAGGAGCGGCGCGCTGCCGCCCCTCGACACAAGGAAGGCAGGGCGGCGCAGGCGAGGTAGGGAGGGGAGGGAGAGACCTGGGAAGACCAGACACAAGGAGACGACGGTGCATGCCACGGAGACGTGGCAAGGAAGGGTGATCTAGGCGGTGGTGCCAAAGAAGAGTCTGGTGCGACAGGGGGCGACACTAGCAAGGGGAGGCTACCAGACCTGACGCAGATTCCTGACCGACTGCTGGTACCTGAGGAGACACAGTTGTCAGCGTGTAAAGACTCGACCCTGGCCGACGGGTGAACGTGGCCAGGTGGCGGCCAAACCTGGAGAACGTACAGATCGCCAGACGCTGTCCTCCAGGGGTAAAGGTGTCAACCCAATGATCCTGGAGGACGGCGTTGCTCACCAAGTTCGTCGAGAATGAGGGGAGGTGAAGACCTGACAGTGAGCCAGACGGAACCGCCGGGCACAGAAGCACAGTGGTGGACCGTGCAACAACTAGGCCCCCTAAGGGTCAGCCAGAGACACTGCAACAGGTGCAGGGAGTAGCATGAGTGCGGTACTGTTGCGAAAGAAACAGCGGGAAGCACCTGAGTCAAGCGTGAAGGTGTGCAAGGCCTCAGCAGGTGCAGTACCTGAGAGAGCAAACTCGCTAGCACCTAAGGCAGCAGCCTCACTAGCACCTAGAGCAGCAACCTCTATACCGGGGTCGTATTGCACACATAGGTAACAGTCACCCTCAGCACCACCAGGCAAAGCATACATAGCAGTAAGGATGGCGTCATAGTCCAAAGCAAAGACATCAACGCTCGACCTAAGCAGCTCAAGCTACTGGGGGATCTCAGCTTTGTCGCCAAACTCTGCGTGCCAGGCGTCACTCAAATAGGCGAAGCAACGGGACTTTGCGTGACCAGGTGTCCCACAGGTCTGACCAGCTCGACGACCTGTGCGAATGACGTACGGGCAGCGACCAGGACTCAGAGACGTCCCACGCTGGTAAAGCCACTTACGAAGCTGCTGAGACGTAAGGGTCGGACGCCGCCGTAGCTGCATCTGGCCACCGCCAGAAACTCCGCACCAAACAGCGCCACAGTGACTGCTACTACGGCCGCCACCACTCCCACTGCTGCCACCACCGTTGTCACCACTCCCACTGCTCCTACAGAGTGAAGTCATGGTGGGCAAGCTAAGAGGAGCGCGACCTCTAGGGCAGTACGGAGTGAAGGCAGTAGCACGAGGAGTAGCAGCAGCAGTAAGAGCAGCAGAGCGGCTCGGTGAAGCTAGGTTGCATCACCTCCAGCACTCCTAGCAACACCTCCACCAGCAGCAGCAGTAGCACGAGCAGCAGGGCGGATCGGGTCGGGTAGGGCAGCTCGGCTCGGCCTGGGCGGCGCGGGCAGCAGGGCGCGCCGCTCTGCAGGGCAGTAGGGTGCGACGCGCGTGCTGCAGCAGGGCGTGACGCGCAGGGCAGCAGGGCGCGACGCGCAGGCTGCAGCAGAGCGCGACTCGCGGGCTGCTGTAGGGCGCGACGCGCGGGGCAGCAGGGCGCGACGCCCGGGCTACAGCAGAGCGCGACGCGCGGGGCAGCAGCGCGCGACGCACGGGCTGCCGTAGGGCGCGACGCGCAGGGTAGCAGTGCGGGCGCAGGGCATGGCGCAGGCGCAGGGCAGGGCGCTGGCGCAGGGCATGGCGCAGGCGCAGGGCAGGGCGCTGGCGCAGGGCAGGGCGCTGGTGCAGGGCAGGGCGCCGGCGCAGGGCAGGGCGCTGGAGCAGGGCAGGGTTCCGGCGCAAGGCAGGGCGCTGGCGCAGGGTGACGCGAGGCAGGGCAGGGCAGGGCGTGCGCTAGGCAGCGCGACGCGGGGCAAGGCAGGGCGTTCGCAGAGCAGCGCGGCGCGGGGCAGGGCAGGGCGTGCGCGGGGCAGCGCGACGCAGGGTAGTGGGGTAACGCAGTAACCAGTCGGTCGCTAAGTATGGTGGGCCTGGAAAAAAAAGTCCTACGGACGTACTGCTTTGAAACCATGTCAAGATAGTAAACAGGAATGATTGCATTCAATGAATTGTGGGTACAAGTACTAACCCTAATATTGGGTTGTACCCCATATGAGCTACCCCACTATAGCTTACACACAACTAGCACAGATATGGTTTGACAAGCCTATCATAAACATGAACGTAGTATGACACAAAAAAGAGTCAAATCAGTACAAAAACATCGGGTGCAAGCACCACCACCAAGCTGTCACTCTGGTCTGGTGAGACTATGAAGCGATGATTGAGCATGCAATGCTGAGAAGAACGGGGGCTGCATGTGCGCTTCCAGTGAATCATTAGGCGCATTTTGGCAGACCGAACAGATGGGAGGTAGTCAATCCACCACCACTTTGTCACCCTCCCCACCTCAAGCAGGAAGGGCTCTTTCAGCTTTGGCAGCTGGTGGAGTGACTTGGGCAGAGAATTCAGCTCAGGTAAAAAGCACAGCTCCAGCGTTCCAAGGTGTTTTAGCTGCCCGAGTGACTCGGGCAGCACAGATAACTTATCCATGTGTTGGAGCTTCAGGACCCTGAGGTTTTGCAGCTGTCCAAGGGACCTGGGCAGGCTGGAGAGGCCGTGCATGTGGGTGAGGGTGAGGGCAGAGAGGGCGGAAAGCGTGGAGAAGGAATCAGGGAGAGAGGTGATTTGCCAGCATCTACAAAGTGATAGGCTGGTGAGAGACGCCAGGCCCCACAGCTGCTGTGCGCTGCGCTGCTCCTCGCCATGCTGCGGCTGTGGCTGTAACTGTGGCTCCGACCGAGGCTGTGGCTGTGGCTGTGGCTGTGGCTGCGGCTGCGGCTGCGGCTGTGCCTGTGACTGTGCCTGTGGCTGAGCCTGTGGTTCGCTGGACGTGCTGACCTCACTGCCAGCACTAGGGCCGGCAGCAGTGGCTGTAGGAGCGACAGTGGCAGAAGCAGGAGCAGGGTCAAGAGGAGGGCGAGGCGCAATGTCAGGAGCGGCAGCAAAGGAGGCGGTCACACCCAATGCGGGATCCGGAGCGAGCAATGGGTCTAAGGACTCGACGCTTTGGCAAAAGGTGATTTCGAGATCTTGCAGGCGCGTCAGCATGGGCAGCTGGGGAGGCAGCTGCTTCAGTTCTATGCACTCGCGCAGGTACAGCTTCTCCAGGCTGTGTCTCATACTCCCCGTGCACAGGCTTTCCGGCAGCTGCCGCAGGCCCACCTGGTCGATTTCCAGCAATCTCAATCGCTGTAGCTCTCCCATGCTCTCGGGCAGACACCGAAGGTAGGGAAGGTTCTCAAGTTTAAGGGATGAGGGCTCCAAGATTATCCGGAAGGGAGTCGATTTCAGGGCATGAGAGAGAAAGCGCCTTCAATCGCAGCATCGCCCCCATCACATGCTCGGGCACGCCGCGCGTCAAACACTTGGAGTGCAGCGACAAGGAACGAAGGTGGGTGAGGTGCTGGAAGGAATCCGGGATCCACTCTAACTTCTCCATTTCGATCTCTAGGGTTTGCAGATGCGGTAAGCGACCAATGGAGGTGGGGAGGTGAGAGAGAGAAGGGTTAGTGAAGGTCAAGCTTCGGAGGTTGGTGAGGCTGCCGATGGAATCGGGGAGACCTTGGAACGCCGACCCTGCTGCCACGCGGAGCTCCTGCAGCTGCTGCAGCGCGCCGATTCTCTCAGGCGACGCGATGAGATTCTCGAGATGGTCCTCGCTGTAAAAGCGGGTGTGGCGGCAGAGGTGGAGAGTTCTGAGGTCGGAGAGGAGAGTGACGTTGGGCGGGAGGTGCGGGAGGCGGTGAAGGGTGAGGACGCGGAGGTCGCGGAGCTTGCGGCAGCCGTGGAAGAGAGTCGAGAGGCCATCGCAAGTGACTTGCATGTCAAGCTGGTAGTGTACGGTCAGATGTGTCAGATTCGGACACGTGGCGCCCAGGCATTGGTAGAGAGCATCGTTCGGGTCCGTTTGCTCCGTAACGCGAAAATATTGAAGCTCGAGGTGCGTGAGCGAGGAAAAGCTGCGAATTGCGTCTAGGAGAACAGAGAATCGGGTATTGGATTTGATTGTGAGGTGTGCGAGCGAGAGCCGCGCTGCGGCGTACCATCGATTGGAGACAAGCGCGTAACGGAAGGAGTCGCGTGAGTGACCGCAGCACGAGCGAGAGAAGGTAATCGTCGGATAGGACTTCCTCGATCAGCGACGGAGGAGGGGAAGGGGCCGAGAAGGCGGGGAAGAGGGGGAACGGGAGAATTGACATGGTACGATTCGTGGTATTGCCGCAAAAAAATGATTGTGTCGAGTGAACAAATGCAGCTTGCGACTGGTTTCATGGTACAGTATGAAACCTGAAATGAGCATGAAATGCAGTGCTCGCCAAGCAAGAACGGTGGGGGGGGGGGGGGGGGGGGGGGGGGGGAGGAGGACGGGGAAGAAGTTGCGTGCGGGGGGTTTTGATGGCGGGGGCAGCGCCGTGTGCCATGTTGAGGGCGTGTGCCCAAACGGGTTTGATCGCGACTGATCTGATCGGGCGGATCTGATCGGGTTGCTTGTGATCGCAATGCCCGAGCCACCCGATCAGTAATGTTTTTCTTAAAAGATTCTTCTCGGCTGCTCAGCAAGCGGGATACAATTACCTGGTATTTTCGTGGCAATCTTAGCGAGACTGGCGATCAGACGGCTTCTGGCGAAACTCTCTATATCCAAGAAATATCGTGAAAACCACTCCCCTCTGGAGCCTAAGTGGTGGGATTCCACCAGATTGTTCGACACAGGCTGTATGTTCCTTGGGAGCGAGGAGAATGATTGGATGGCGAAATGGTTGCCATTCCAGGGTGTTCTGTACAGGCTGGACATCTTCGTGAAGGGTTGATGAATCTCTGTAATATAGTGTAACTTTCCGTCAGTGGTCCCCGATCACCCACGATCAATTGATCGTGGGTGATCGAAGAGAATCGACTATGATCGGGGGGTAAATCGGGTCTGATCGAGTTGGGGCGATCAGCTGATCGCGATCAGCTGATTGCCCCTGATTGCCTGAATTTGGCCTCCAGGCTTCCTGGAAATTAATGATCGCGGCTGATCGAGGCGATCGAACCCGTTTGGGTCCACGCTATGATTATGAGGCTTGTACTGTAGCGTGGCGTGTCATTGGGAGAAGATCATACAGAGGCCGAACAGTGCCAGAGGGGTGATCGAACAGGAGCCGAGTGGCCCGAAACTTACCAAACCGCTGCGTAAGAAGGAATTAACAGCGGGTATTCGTTTATTGCACGTACTTCTGTTACTAGTGACATGTACCGGCTCGCATTTTTGCTCGCGTGTCGTTCAGCGAGCCGACTCTACTGGGAACTCTAAGGCAGCTAAAAAAAATTAAAAGTCATAGGGAACCTGGATGCAATTTTGGGATGGATCAACCCTAAAAAAGGGGACCTTCCTGATATTTAGTGTTGATGCCTCCCGAGTCGCATCTGTTTCCGAATAGGTAATATTTCTTTTTCTTGTGCGTTTCCGATCAGGCAGATGATATGTATCACCCATAATATATTATATTGTTACGTACGATTTGACACGCCGAATTTTAATTCCATAAGAAGGTGACCCACGCGCTGTTGTAGACAACGGTCAAAACACTCAATAAATAAAATGAACACAAAAGTTGGTTCTTTTTAGCTATTGCCTTTTACTCATGGTTCGGCTTGTTTGCCGAGTCGTTTGGCCAGCTCTGGGTTGAAATCCTACAGTCGAGATTTACCTGTCCTACTTCAATCACCCCTCTGGCACTGTTCGGCCCCAATCTGATCTTTTCCCCGTGTCGTTCCAGCCCGTGAGTGCGGCCCTGGGTGCTGTTGGGCTAAAACGGGTGATCAAGCGAAGCGGAGAGACTCCCTGGTGGTATCGGGGAAGGCAAGGGAGATCCCCCTCCGCCAGTATTGCCGGAACCTCCAAGTGGGTGACCGGCTGCCCTTCTTGGGGGCGCGTGCTCGCTGCCCTCACTGCGGGAAGGTAGAGCCGGAAAGCCACTGCCTCTTCGTCTGCCCGATCATCTAGCCAGTGGTGGGCGCCCTGGTGCGGGGGCTCCGCATGATGAACCCGACCAGGGATGTAGGTTAAAGCCCAAGACCTGAATTACTCAACGGAAGTCAACTGAGTATTTCTAGGTTCGGCGGGCTGCCAGTTGGAGGTTCGAATGGGTTGAGTGACACGCGAAAAAGCAAAACCACCTTGCGACTGAAAACAGTTCGCCACAAACTGTGCACTTGCTGATTGGTTGGAACAAACATGGCACACAAGGCCCATCTTCCCAAGTTCGACAAACCTGAGAAGCACGCAAAGGGAAAGTGTGCACAGTTTGAATAGGGAATGACAGGCACTCGAACAAACATAACTAGTCCTAAGTCCCCTTCAGCCAGGCGCGGCCTTAGCTTCTAGAAAAACGAGAAGGAGCCATTAGGAGTGAATGTCCGTGTTGATGGACCCGGAAAGGCGCGATTTTTAGGGTGTTGAGGACAACGCCCTCAACAAATAGGGAACAGGGCGGACGTATGAGACGGGGCGCCCCACATAGCCTTGTTACGCCACCACTCGGTGCAGCTTAGATTCCCACGCGCTCGAGGCGCCCCCAGCATCAAGCCTTCCGCCCTGCCCCTCACGGTCCCCCGTTTACGAGCGCCTGCCTTTCACATAGCGCATGGTGAGAAGCCTCCCGTCGGGCTCATCTCAGCCCCCCGTCGCCTTCATTTTCAGCTTCCCGTCGCCCACATTTCAGCTTCCCGTCGTACGCATTTCGCGGCCCGTCGCCCTCGTATCCAATATTTCGAGACGCCCACGCTTCCCGAGTCCGGTTGCCCTCCATTCCCATCCCGAGAACCCACATTACCGAACCCGTCGGCCACAAATCCCTTCCCGTCGCCCCATTTCCCTTCCCGTCGCACTCACTTCCCTTCCCGTCGCCCTCGTTTCCCTTCCCGTCGCCCACATTACCCTTCCCGTCGCACTAATTTCCCGTCCCCTCTCACACATTTCCACCCCATCGCCCTCGTTTCCCTGCCCGTCGCACTAAATTCCCTTCCCGTCGCACTCATTTCCTTCCCCGTCGCCCACATTTCCCTTCCCTGCGCCCTCATTTCCCCTCTCATCGCCCACATTTCCCTTCCCGTTGCCCTCATTTCCCCTCTCGTCGCCCTCGTTTCCCTCCCCATCCATCCCAAAATGTGTTGGTTTCGATTCTTACGTAGGAGCAACTGTAGGGTAACTTCTCGGTAATTTTTTGAAGACTTACTTCAAAGATTGTGGCCAACATTCCTGGTAGTAACTTTGGTTGGAATTGGCCCGATAGAAACTTCTTCGAAATTGTTGTCGCCCAATCGCAGCCGCACATCTACGTGCTATGGAAAATTTACCCCCTCGTAACTATGAACTGGTTAAACCAATCGCAACTCGTCATTTTCGATGCTGATTGATTGTGAGAATAAGCGAACAGGAATGAATGAACTAGCAGTGAAATGAGTACAAGTAGGAAACCCTAGAATTGTGTACCCCCTATAGGCTAACCCACTGTAGCCTACACAAGCATAACATTTATAATGTTTGACACACCCCCATAGGCAAAGTGGGGGAGAACAAGGGGTCACAAGACCAGTCAAGCAAAGCAAAGCAAGCTCAGGGTGGATCACAAAGTCACCACACAGTCCGAGCACAAGAGCAGGGCCAGAGGCCAGTTCACATGCAGGAGTACAGACATATATATAAAACTAGACAAGCAAGAGCAGGTATATATATATGTCACAGTACAAGTGAAGTCAAGAGGAGAGCAAGTGAGGCAAGACAGGCACAAGACCCAGCTGGGTGCAAAAGCGCTGATGGTCACAAGGCGCGAGTGCCTTGGTGAAGACATCAGCAGTGTTGGCCTCAGAGGCCACGTACGCAAGTCGCAACTGACCACGCTGCTGCAGCTCACGAGCAAGGAAGTAGCGGAGAGCAATGTGCTTCGTTCTGTGCTCCAAGCGCTGCTCTCGACACAAGGCCAGCATGGCCTTGTTGTCTACGTACAGCACTGGAGGAGAACGAGGCGGCTCTCCAAGGTCAGTCAGCAGGTAGGTGAGCCAGCGAAGCTCCTGTGCAGCCATGGCCCCGGCGTAGATCTCAGCCTCACAACTGGAGCCGAGAACTGAAGACGAGCGAGTAGACCGCCACGAGACAGAGCCGGAACCAAGGCTGAAGGTGTAACCCTGTGACGACCGCTGCGTAGCCTGGTCGTCAGCCCAAGAAGCGTCCGCGTGGCCGGTAAGGACCACTGGACTCCGCCCTCCAAGCACAAGCCCCATGCCCGACGTACTGCACAGGTAGCGCAATACCCTCTTCGCTGCAGCCATGTGCTCTGGTCTGTGTCTCCCAGGAGCAACATAGCGTGCAAGAATGCTCAGAGGATATGCAAGGTCAGGTCGTGTGCAGGTCATCAGGTACATGAGGCAGCCAACAAGCTCTGCATACGGACCACTCGACTCTACGGACTCATCCGAAGGCAGAGCTGAGAGTGAGTGGCGAGTAGGCAGAGGAGTGGCCTGAGGCGAGGAGTACGTGAAGCCGAAGCGCTGAAGGACCTGCTGCACCATGTGTGACTGAGTCAAGGTAATGGTGCGGCGTGCTCTGTCCCGAGTGATCTGCAAGCCAAGGTAGCTGCGCAGTTCACCCAGGTCTGTGCACGTGTGTCTCTTCAGCAGTTCGGACTTCACGTGGGCGAGTCCAGCAGTGTCCGCTGTGGCAAAGACCAAGTCGTCGACGTACACGAGGATGTAGAACGGCGGCAGTGAAGTGTCGGTGCGCAGAAACAGCGACGGGTCAGCAGTAGAAGGAGCAAACCCAAGAGCCGCAAGCGTAGTCCT